AAATGTTCTGACCAATAAATGCCAAAGGGGGAGAGTGTTAGAATGTCGGTGGGATTCAAGTCCACGACACCAAGTGGAATTCTATGGAGATGTGTATTAATATGAGAAACATATTTTCCTTAGTTATCTCATTAGATAATTTGAGAAGAAATAAATTATCTCTTCATATTAATGACCTGAACGTGTATCTCCAAAATAGAAGAAATTTCACATTTTTAACAATGTGTTTATTGTCATTAATTGGTTTAGGTCTTCACAAAAATATAAAAGGAGGAGCTAATGCTGGCGTTATTTGCTGAGTCTTTTATCAAGTGGATGATTTACCACGTCGCTCTGCACCGGTCTCCAAGTCTACCAAGCCAAGTAAGCAAAGGGGAAGAATGAAGTAATTTACAAGAGGAGCTGCCTAAGGATGATTTAGGAGAAACACATGTCGGGGGAGCTGACTCCGTTGTGAAACACCTGCCGAAGACACTACTGTGGGAACAATTGTTGAAACTGTGGCACTTACTATTGCAGCAGTTGATGCCACTCTTGTTGCTGAAAGAGATGATCATGATGAGGTGTTCCTTTAATGCTCAGGATGATCTTTAGTTTTTTTGCTTCCGTCTGTCCTCTGATTATTTTATTTTCAGGTTTTTTACTCAGCGGGAGAAAATGATTATAATCAATAAACGACAAATGGGGAGATTGTTAGAATCCCTTGGATTCTAATTATACGAGAATTAAATAAAACTTGTGCCACAAGTTTGCATATACCGTGAGCTAAAGAAGGGAAGAGTTTTTGGCTATGTTTGGAAGCATTTTGGAACTTATTTTGATTTTATTTTGAGGAAATGTGTTTTGGGGGAAGAATTTGAGAATGAAAGTAAGGTTTGTTTATATTTTGGAAGGAGACAAAATACACTGTAGCAGTCATATCATGTTTAAAAGTGTTAGAAAAAAGTATTTAGAAGAAAAAAATTGAAAGATGATGTGATATTTATTTGTTTTTTAGTGAAGACATTTTTTATTGTAACAGTCAAATTATTTTACTGTAGCAGTCACATCATGTCTGAAGGATAGAGAAACTTTTGAGAAAATTATTTGAGAAGTGTAATAAATATAATTTAGTTTTGGGGAATCAATGAAAACAAAATAGAAACACTACAAAACATTGCCTTTGTATCTTTTAATTTTTCTAATTTGTCATAATTAATTGATTTATAATAGAAATTATTCTTCTAAAGAGTTTCCTTCTTTTGAAAATAGTATTTCCTACGTGATTAAGAGTTTCCTAACCCTAATGGACTCTATTTCCTCATACTGTACGCCTTTTGTTGGAGAGAAAAATTACATTTTTCTGCTCTTATTTTTGCTGCTCCCGCAACGTCTTTTTAATTGAGAGAAATATGAAAAGAAAATATCTTTTGCTCTCGTTTTTATTGCTCTGTGAGAAACTTTCTTTTCATAGAAAATAAATCGGCTCCAATGCTTTGTGGAGAAGATACGTTCAAGGATTATTCACAAGTTTGCTTCTTCTATACAAAATGAAGATCGGTTCTTCGGGAGAGGGGCTTAGACAGATTTCGGGAGGAGATCGATCCGCCGACTGAAGGGATTCAGCGTTGAATGGAGTTCAACCGAGCGGAGAGGAGGCTGGCATAATTGGAGTTACTAGTTTTGAGTACTGCATAAGAACGGTGTCAAGATAAAGAGGGAGTCTTTAATTTATAGTTTAAGTCCTAATATTGTGCTTGTAAAACTAATGAAACACGTGGATTATTTCCACATTTTGTTTTTAACTTTCTTATTTTCTAACTAAATTTTAGTTATTGAATAAGTAGTGCTTAGTGGGTTAAGTATAGTACTTAGTGGGTTAAGTAGTGCTTAGTGGTTTAATTATGGATATTATTCTAACTTCTTAACTAACCCACTAACCCATTTTCTTGAGTGCTCTTGTGGTTGGTTTTCTTGCAGATCATGGGCTGAGTAGTGGAAGCTTGAAATGTTTATAAATACCGATTTCAATACTCAAGGAAATTAATGGATTCCACGAAATAAAAACCGAGAGCTGAAAAGAAAACATGAGTATTTTAGAGTGGTTTTAGAATCGGTCGTTTGTACTCCTCATGATTACATTCTTTACGTACTCCTCATGAGTACATTCTTTACGTACTTCTCATAAGTACATTCTTTGTAGTCTAGATTTTTCAGTATATATGTTTCTAGACTTGGTTGTAAGAATGATCAAGATAGTGATTCATTCATAAGTTCTTTACGTACTCCTCACGAGTACATTCTTTGAAATCTAGAATTTTTAATATTTTTCTTTTAGTATCTAGATTTGATTGTAAGAATGATCATGAGAATGATTCATTTGTAAGGTAGAAGTTTTCGCACCTTTTCCATTTGTATTCTTGGAATACTGTTTTTAATATATTTTTTCCGTCCTGTAAAGGGCAAGTTCACAAGTCCTTACTTGTGAACATTTTTAATTCTGAGTATTGTTCTTTTATCTTTATATTTCCGCTGCATGTTTTCTCAAGTGTCATAACACTTCAGATAACATCTCTGTATTAAACGAATTCGGGACCATAAATTCTTTCAACAAAAATAGTGAATATTCGTTTTTGCAGATCCTCTGGATGTGGGTTACAATTGTATCCGAACCACTTTGAATTTGTGTCTCGTTTATTTCTGTTTTTACAAACTGTGCATCACTTCACGCAACATTAACAAAAAAACTGAATTTGACGCAAATAACTAATATTTGGACGAAATAAATCCTAATGAATAGAAACATTCGTTTAGCTCTGATACGCGTTTTCCTCACGTATAAATTACCGCAAGTATACGGTATCGCATTTTGCAGAACAGTGGTTCCGGATATCGATCCACAGGGACCTTGTAGATTCACATGCTGAGTAGCGTAATTATATTATCGTTATATTATCTAGCCGATCGTAAATAATTGGAAAGGTGAGAAACCCTAATTTAAAAGCATGCAAGATCGTAAACATGCAAATATAGAATGTACGTAAATAAAGCAACGACAACTCAACGCGGGGGACTTCGATTTAAAGGGGACTTCTAGGGCCAAATCCACCTATATATAATCAACAACGATCTACAAATCCGTTATCTAACGCCACATTCCTATTCGTTAACCCAGACGCTAAAGTACTCTAACCCCCGTCTCCAGTGTAGTTAGAGTCTACCCACAGGTCCGACGTCTCCGTTCAGAACCTGCTATTAAGAGAGCATTTAGGCCAAGTCCTTAAGGGCTACCCGAAGTGCATCACGTCTCCGTTTCCACACCCCGAGCTATGTTTTCCTAACTTCAAACAAGAAATCCTCTCTCGAGTTCATTCCTAATTTAATATCAATCTGAGAGCTGATCAACACAATCAGAAGCATTTAATACAGGAAAACATAAACGAAATCAAAACACGACAAATAGATAACAAAAATGACGATCGAAATCAATATATACAAGGCTTCATTGCCCTAGAAGAAAATGTTCTTAGTTCATAACAAACATAGTATCAAAAGAATGTACAAAGGAAATGAAGAACAAAACGTAAAGAAATTGCGTAAGAAAAACCCAAGTCGGAATCCCCGTTGACGATTCCCGCGAAGAACTGTCGAAAACCGTAAAAAAGTCGAAGAAGAACGAAGAATGAGGGCTTGCTTCTATTTATAGTAAATTGCAAAGCTTCCTCAAGAAGCTTTGCTTTCTAAAATATCTGCCCTCGAAAATCGTGCCAGATCGCGATCCCATAAAGTCGGATCGCGATCTGGCTTCTCGAAAAAACGTGAACCGCCACCCAGATCGCGATCCAGGAAGTGCGGATCGCGATCTGCCCCAAAATCACGATGCTACTGGAATTTGTCACCAGATCGCGATCCGACTTTCCTGGATCGCGATCTGGGTCTGAATCTTGCTTGCTACTGGAATTTGCATCCTGATCGCGATCCGACTTTCCTGGATCGCGATCTGGGTCTTAATGATCACTTTCTCGGCTTGAAAAATCGGTTTCGCTTCCAAATGGCTTCGACTTGGCAACAAAAGCTAACAAAACCTAAAAAAAGAAATAAAACAAGAAACGCAATAATATATACAAATAAAGCCGAAACTCGGACGAACGAAGACCAAAACTCGAAGATTTGATAAGCAAAAATCGTGCAAAACGACCACTTATCACACCCTCAAACTTAGATCTTTACTCGTCCCGAGTAAATCAAAACGAAACTACAACAAAAATGAAATAAAAACAACCAACTAAACTAGGCCACTAACGTAGGGAATCACAATTGCATTTAGCGTATGCAACAAGCCTTTGAACCCCTGGGTACCCCCAAAGGACGAGTTGTGTCTCGTGAGGGTTTTCAGACAACACACCCACAAAGTTGCCGGATTGGTCAAAGCATTGCAATTAATTCGAAAGATAAAACGAGCTAGATAACCTAAAATCTCATAATGGCCCATGGCTTTAAGGTATTCGACTTTCCTACCGACGCAATTAGTTGTTTCTACACCAAAATGAAAGATGGACTCAAGAATCCGTAATTAAACAATAAACACAATCATCGAGGGTTTTGAGTAGAAATGTGGGTGAAAAGTAAGTTTTGATTATGAAATTCAAAAACTCGAGTTGGGCATAAGTAGGTCTTTTTTATTCAATAAGAAATGACAACAACGATATATTGTGATTTTCATCACAACTTTCTTCTTTTTTTTTTTTTTTTTTTTTTTTTTTTTTTTTTTAACATATATATCGAATAAAAACGTAAAGACCATTGATAGAACTTCTAGCCAACAACTCGAAATTGTGAACACATAATTCAATTCTAACCTGCCCCCCCAAACCTCAGGCTATTATACCCCTCAGAACAATGCGCTCAAGCTTAATCGGAAAGGATTCGAAAGGCTATCCACACAAGTTGCAAAAACGCAGTCGGAAGGTTCATCTATAATTAGCCGGTGATCCAAAATTTGAATTTTAAAATCGACTAGCCCATCTACTAATTCATTAATTGCTTTGCTTCAAAAGAACCCGGAAATGCAAATTACACTCGATCCTAAATGAAATGCATGTGACAAACATAACACAATAACGGAAATTGAAATACATAAACGAAACTAAATTATATGATATGCATGCAAAAGACCAAATCAAAATAAGATAAATAAAATAAAATAAAAACAAAGTCTAGCAAAGATACATCGTAAACGAAATATCAATCCAACGACTTATCCCAAAAAAAAAAACGAACAAAAACAAACAAACAGGTTCAACACACACCACCCTCAAACTTAAATTCTAGCATAGTCCCTATGCTCAAAAGCAGAATAAAAAATAAAAGGGATAGAAAACACAACGTCCCCTAGTTGTCTTGATCGTCCTCGTGGGCTCCTCCCTCCTCTTCCTGTCGTCCCCGCTCGTACTCCTCCCAGGCCTGTGCCACCAGTGTAGTGGCTGCCGCTTGTGCTCGTTCGTCGGCGGCGGAGGTTGATGCTCCATCATATCGAGGCCGTGGTGGGAACGGCCGTGGCTCGACAATGTCATCGGTCCTGCACTGAAGCGCTGGAGCCATGGCCTTCATCATTTTCTTGAACCATCCCACATTTTCCTCCATAACATCCATCCATTGGCCGACATACTCCGGGAGCTGTGGTTCTGCTTCTTGTCTGCCTCTTCTGGCCCTTTGTTCTGGTCGAGCCGCATGAACACCTGAGGGACCAGCATCTGGTAAGTCTGAGTCGCCCTCGCCTAGGGGTCCACTCGCTGGCTGGAGCTTGTGGTAAGGGAAGATAGGCTGTGGTGACCTGGTGAGCCGGTCATCCGCGTATGTGGGGACCCTTGCACGATCACACAGTGTAGTGATGAGGGAAGGGAACATCAGACCTAGAGAGGTATCACCTAAGCATCGTCGGATCTCAGCGTGTATGATCGCGCCCACATTCACAGGTGTCCTCTTCATAACGGCATACATCAGTGTAAGACGTGGGGCATAGGTCTTGGCCGTCGATTTTGTGGGCATGAGCCTGCTACTGACAAAGTACATCCATACCTTTGCTTCCCTTGAAAGTTCCCCCCGACGGAACCAATGCTCTCCTTTTTGCCACTTCGAACCCCTAGGGCAAAGAGTCTGAATCAGCTCCTCATAGGTCGTTGCCATCTTCAGTTGTTGAAACGGCTCGGTCGAGACTTCGGGTAGGTGGAAATACTTGTTGATTGTAGCAGCGTCATAGCGCACCTCTTTGTCTCGAAGAATGACCACCGACCCCGCGTGAAAACCGGCATTGGCATAGAAGAGCCTCACTAGATTCTCGTTGTAGTCCTCCGGTCGTTTGGCCAAGTACTTCCATTGTCGACGATCAAAGTTTGCTATGATCGATTCTTTTTCCATGCCATAGATATCTAATTCCCTTTCTGGAACAAACGGTCGGCTATGGCGACGTATGAATTCTCTTTTGGCCTCGACGTTCACGTACAAAAACTCATCTCCCGGTTCGAGGACTACGTGGTCAAGGATGGTGTGTTGATTAGCACGGGATCCCATCTCAAGTTGCACGTTTCCCGTGCGTGGGGTTTGTTGCTCTTCCGGCACCTGAGATGGTGGTGGTGCACTCGAAGTGCCTTCTTGGCTTCCCGTGCCTCGAGAAGCTGCCTTTTTCTTCGGTGCGGCTTTTCCTTTTGCCGGAGCCTTCTCCTTGGGTTGGGCTTTTTTGGTCGTTTCGCCCGTCTTTAAGAGTTTCTTGGCCGGCGACGTCATTTCGCTCGAATTTGTGCGAGATGGAAGGTCGAAAGCTTTTGGAAGTTCGTTCGGGAATTTTGTCGAACACTTGGCGTGCCCAACTTGGTAAGCCTTTTGATTTCCACCGGTTGTTCGGTACCTATCCCTCCTTTTCTTGAAGATTCACCCACAAATTCTTGGAGTAAATGTGCAAATCGTGAATTGTGATGATCAAGTGTGTGATTGATGTGCTTTTGATGAAAGAAATTGAAGATTTTGAAGTTGGGGAGGGGTTAGGGTTTGGAATTAGAAAAGGGAGAATAAGAAAATGAAAGGGGTTTGTGAATTTTGAACTGCTTTTCGACCCCAGATCGCGATCCACAATACCCGGATCGCGATCTGGAGGCTTACCTTGCAGCTTCTGGAAAAAGGCCCCAGATCGCGATCCGACTTACCTGGATCGCGATCCGGGCCCCAAATTCGCTGCTACTGGAAAAACACCCCAGATCGCGATCCGACTTACCTGGATCGCGATCCGGGCCCCAAATTCGCTGCTACTGGAAAAACACCCCAGATCGCGATCCGACTTACCTGGATCGCGATCTGGGACACCTAAAACCTGCCAAAACGGAAATTTTAAATGGGTGAGATAGAGATGTTGAACCCTAAAGACATAAAAATCCACGAAAAAGCTAAAAAATAAAAACGAAAACAAGAACAAAAGGAAAATGACAGAAAATGGGCAACAATGGGTTGCCTCCCATTTAGCGCCTGTTTTACAGTCGACGGCTCGACTTCTTTTGGATTTATTGGGAGAAAATTAGTGCGACACGCTCCACTTCCTCGGGAGCACCATTCGGGTAGTAATGCTTAACTCGTTGCCCATTCACTTTGAACGACGGACCGTCTCGTCCTCGTATTTCGATTACTCCTTGTGGGGTTGCGCTCAGGACTACGAATGGTCCCGACCAACGGGACTTGAGCTTTCCCGGAAATAGTCGTAGCCGAGAATTGAACAACAGGACCTGGTCACCTGCCCGGAACTCTCGCTTTGTAATTCTTTTGTCATGCCACTTTTTCGTCTTTTCTTTGTAAATCTTGGCATTTTCGTAAGCATCATTTCTGAACTCCTCCATTTCGTTGAGTTGAAGCAATCGACGATCACCGGTAGCTGTTTGATCGAAATTGAGTTTTTTGACTGCCCAATAAGCTCGGTGCTCCAATTCCACTGGCAGGTGGCACGCTTTCCCATACACGAGTTTGTACAGAGACATCCCAATCGGTGTCTTGAATGCAGTTCGATAGGCCCAAAGTGCATCATCGAGCTTCAATGCCCAATCTTTTCGGTTCGTGCTCACGGTCTTTTCCAGAATCTGTTTGATTTCTCGGTTTGACAACTCAGCAAGGCCATTCGTCTGTGGATGATAGGCTAGCGCAATTTTGTGTCGGATCCCCAACTTATTCGTGAGATTAGTGAGCAGTTTGTTGCAGAAGTGAGATCCTTCATCGCTAATGATCGCCCTGGGTGTTCCAAACCTTGAGAATATATTCTTGTGAAAGAATTTGAGGACCGTACGAGCGTCGTTGGCTGTGGTGGCAATTGCTTCGACCCATTTGGACACGTAGTCCACGGCAAGCAGAATGTATAACTTCACGTTCGAAGAAGGGAATGGTCCCATGAAGTCTATGCCCCAAACATCGAAAAGCTCCACCTCTTGCATGCTGTTCAAAGGCATTTGGCTTTTGTTGGATAGGTTCCCTGTTCGTTGGCATCGATCACATCGTTTCACGAACTCGTAACTATCTCGGAATAGGGTTGGCCAAAAGAAGCCTGACTGCAGAACCTTGGCGGTTGTGCGAGATTCCCCGTGATGCCCGCCACAAGGTGAAGAGTGGCAATGTGTGAGAATCTCACGTACTTCTGTTTCCGGAACACATCTTCGGATGACACGATCGGGGCCGGTTCTGAAAAGTAACGGCTCGTCCCATAGATAGAAACGACTGTCGTGAAGGAATTTTTTCTTTTGATGATAAGAAAGGTCGTCAGGAATGATTCAACTGGCCAAGAAGTTGGCCACATCAGCATACCACGGAGTGTGGGTACTAATGGCGAGCAGTTGCTCGTCTGGGAACGATTCCTGAATATTTCCTTCGGCTGGAACTTCTTCTAGTATGAGTCAGGAAAGATGATCTGCTACCACATTCTCGCTCCCCTTTTTGTCTCTGATTTCCAAGTCGAACTCCTGGAGTAGGAGTACCCATCTGATGAGTCTGGGCTTGGCGTCCTTCTTTGCGAACAAGTATCGAATAGCTGCGTGGTCGGTGTAAATGATCACCTGAGACCCCAAAATATACGGTCTGAACTTGTCAACAGCATAAACGACAGCAAGCATTTCCTTTTCGGTCGTTGAATAGTTCTTCTGTGCCTGGTCAAGTGTACGACTCGAATAGTAGATGGCTTTGAAGATTTTGTCCCTCCTTTGTCCCAATACCGCACCTACAGCATAGTCGCTCGCATCGCACATGATCTCGAATGGTTCCTCCCAATTGGGAGTAATCATGATCGGTGATTGGGTTAGCTTCTCCTTGAGAAACGTGAAAGCCTGCAAACAAGCAGGATCAAAATCAAAGACAGCTTCCTTCTCAAGTAAATGACATAATGGTTTTACTATTTTCGAAAAATCTTTTATGAATCTACGGTAAAACCCAGCATGCCCTAAAAAACTTCTAACCCCCTTGACATCCTTCGGTGGAGGCAATTTTTCAATCGTTTCGATTTTTGCCTTGTCCACCTCAAGACCCTTTTTCGAGACCTTGTGACCTAGAACAATACCTTCACGAACCATAAAATGACATTTTTCCCAATTTAAAACAAGGTTCGTTTCTGTACATCTTTTCAAAACAAGTTCTAGATTGTGCACACAATGATCGAAAGACGATCCAAACACAGAAAAATCATCCATAAACACCTCAAGAAACTCTTCTACCATATCGTGAAATATAGACATCATACAACGTTGAAAGGTAGCAGGCGCATTACACAAACCGAAAGGCATCCTACGAAATGCAAAAGTACCGTAGGGGCAAGTAAAAGTAGTTTTCTCTTGGTCTTCCGGGGCGATTGAAATTTGATTGTACCCCGAATAACCATCAAGAAAACAGTAATAATCGAAACCTCCTAGCCTGTCTAGCATTTGATCGATAAAGGGAAGGGGGAAATGGTATTTTCTAGTGGCTGCATTCAATAATCGGTAATCGAAACACACACGCCACCCAGTGACTGTTCTAGACGGAATAAGTTCATTTTTATCATTCACAATAACCGTCATCCCACCTCTTTTTGGCACAACCTGCACCGGACTGACCCACGGACTGTCAGAAATTGCATAAATCATACCAGCGCCTAACAATTTCAAGACTTCTTTTTTGACTACCTCTTTCATTGACGGGTTTAACCGCCTCTGAGGTTGGACTCTCGGTTTATAGACGTCTTCCATTAGAATTTTGTGTTGAACAATAGATGGGCTAATTCCCTTAATATCCTCAATAGACCAACCTATAGCTGACCTATATTCTCTAAGGACCTCCAGCAGTGTGTTTGTTTCGGCCTCGCTCAAACTAGAAGAAATAATCACCGGATAAGTCTTGTCTGCTCCAAGAAAAGCATAACAAAGATAATCCGGTAATTGCTTCAATTCCAGTACGGGGGCCGTTTTCACACTAACTGGTATCTCGGGGACGATCCCTACCTCGTCTATGCCTAAAATCTCGGCACACTCAAGAAACAACACACAATCAAGCACATCATTTTCAATAGGAGTTTCAGGGGAGGCAGAATGCAAATCAATAGAGTTAACAATGCAGTGCTCAACAGAATCACATAATTCATACAAATCAAAAAAGGAGGAAACACAGTCCTCGATCACGTCTATTCTACTGCAATGCTCAACATGCTCAGAGTGTTTAAATGCATCTGTCAAATTAAAAACAACTTCTTCCCCATTTACCCTAAGCATTAAGGATCCTAATTCCATATCAATCATCGCCTTACTAGTGGCTAAGAATGGACGACCTAAAATGATTGGTGCTTCATCATCTTCAGGCATTTCAAGTACCACAAAATCAACAGGCAAAATGAATTTATCTACTTTAACTAGCACATCTTCTACAATCCCATCGGGATATTTCAATGAACGATCAGCTAGCTGTAGAGTCATGCGAGTGCGGTTCAAATTTCCTAAGCCCAGTTTTAGAAACACAGACATAGGCATCAAATTAATACTTGCCCCCAAATCACATAAAGCTTTATCGAAAGTAGAATTGCCAATAATACAAGGAATAGTGTAACTCTCTGGATCTTTCATTTTCGGTGGTAGATTCGACTGAAGAATGGCACTGCAAGTTGCCGTGAGTGTCACTGGTATGTCTTCTTCGATCCGAATTTTCTTGGATAGGACTTCCTTCATGAACTTTGTGTAGTTTGGCATTACCTCCAAGGCTTCTGCAAAAGGGATGTTGATTCGAATCTGCTTGATCTTTTCAATGAACTTCTTCAATTGATCCTTGAACTTCTTCTTCTTCTGTCTTTCTGGAAAAGGAATACGAGTTACCATAAGAGGGGGATTATCAGGAAAAGAAATGTTATTGGGCTTACTAGCCTCTTTTGTACTACTTCCTGAAATGGTGATTTCCGGCTCGACCGGGGTCGGTTGTACAGCTGGCCTTGGTGATTCGTCTGTCGGATAAGGAGGATCAGTCATTTGCAAACCACTTCGGGTGGTTATGGCTTGACAGCTTTCCTTTGGATTGACTTCGGTATTGCTCGGAAATCCACCCTTGGCCATTGTGGACATGGATTGGGCGATTTGCCCTATTTGCTTCTCCATGTTCTTCATTGTTGATTTCAGGCCCTCCATTTCCTGTTCTTGTCGGTGAAGACTCTCGTCATACGTTGGCCCTCGTTGCTCTCTTTGATGGTTGAGATCGGGAGGTGGTTGTAGAGCATTCTTCGGATTGGCATAGGAGAAGTTCTCGTGATTCCGAATTCCCGGGTGATAATGAGTAGGGTTTTGGTTCTGATTGTGGGTTCCCCGGAAATTGTTGAATCGGTGGTTCATAAAGTGTGCCTGCTCCCAATCGTCGTTTGTGGCTTGTGAAGTACTTGCTGTTGCTACTCGTTCGATCTGTGGCCCTCGAACTGAAATTTGGGCGACCTGATTTGATAGGATCGCTAATTGTGCTGAAACCGCGGCTAAAGGATCGAGTTGGTGGACTCCGGCCACCTTTTGTATACCACTCCGTTCGGACTGCCAATGGTAAGCATTCTCACACATTCGCTCGACAATGTCTCGAGCGTCTGTGGGAGTCTTGTTTTGCAATGATCCACCTGAAGCAGCGTCGACTAAAGATCGGGCTGGTTGATCGAGCCCATTGTAGAATAACTCCATTTGATCCCACGGGTTGAATCCGTGTTGAGGGCATTGTCGTAATAAGTCCTTGAATCTCTCCCAAGACTCGTGCATCGGCTCTTGGCTCATCTGTCTGAAGTTGCCTACATCTCTTCGTAATTGTGCGGTCTTCGAGGGTGGAAAGAATCGTGCCAGAAAGGCTTGTGATAATTCTTCCCAACAGGTGAGTGATCCTGGATTAAGACTCAGAAGCCAACTCTTCGCTTTATCTCTGACAGAAAATGAGAATAGCTTCAACCGAATGGCATCGTCAGAAACACCGTTAACTTTGATTGTGTCACAAATCTCCAAGAAATTGGCAAGATGGAGATTTGGATCTGCAGTGGCTGCTCCGGAGAATTGGTTCGCCATGACCATGTTGATTAGCCCCGTCTTTAGCTCGAAGTTGTTTGCGGCTATCGTCGGTTTCCTGATTCCCGAATAGTTCTCATTCACAGCTGGAGTTCGGTATTCTCGCATTGTTCGCTCGGGTGGCAGGTTCGGTCTTGGCTGCTCGTGATCTCGTCCTGGCTCTCGATCGTACTCAAAAGCCAGGTGCTCTGGATTTCCTTGATCTTCGGCCATTGGTTCACTTTGTTGGTTGCGCGTGGCCCTTAGTCTACGAAGTGTCCTTTCAATCTCGGGATCGTAAGGTATGATTTCCAAATTTCGACGCCTGGGCATAAACAAAGTGATCGGTTAATATCAAGGTACAAATCGAAAAATAAAGCAGGTAAAAAGCTAAAGTAATAGTCAGATAATTGGTAACACTATCAACAAAGATAAAATCAAATTGGTCCCCGGCAACGGCGCCAAAAACTTGATACGCGTTTTCCTCACGTATAAATTACCGCAAGTATACGGTATCGCATTTTGCAGAACAGTGGTTCCGGATATCGATCCACAGGGACCTTGTAGATTCACATGCTGAGTAGTGTAATTATATTATCGTTATATTATCTAGCCGATCGTAAATAATTGGAAATGTGAGAAACCCTAATTTAAAAGCATGCAAGATCGTAAACATGCAAATATAGAATGTACGTAAATAAAGCAACGACAACTCAACGCGGGGGACTTCGATTTAAAGGGGACTTCTAGGGCCAAATCCACCTATATATAATCAACAACGATCTACAAATCCGTTATCTAACGCCACATTCCTATTCGTTAACCCAGACGCTAAAGTACTCTAACCCCCGTCTCCAGTGTAGTTAGAGTCTACCCACAGGTCCGACGTCTCCGTTCAGAACCTGCTATTAAGAGAGCATTTAGGCCAAGTCCTTAAGGGCTACCCGAAGTGCATCACGTCTCCGTTTCCACACCCCGAGCTATGTTTTCCTAACTTCAAACAAGAAATCCTCTCTCGAGTTCATTCCTATTTAATATCAATCTGAGAGCTGATCAACACAATCAGAAGCATTTAATACAGGAAAACATAAACGAAATCAAAACACGACAAATAGATAACAGAAATGACGATCGAAATCAATATATACAAGGCTTCATTGCCCTAGAAGAAAATGTTCTTAGTTCATAACAAACATAGTATCAAAAGAATGTACAAAGGAAATGAAGAACAAAATGTAAAGAAATTGCGTAAGAAAAACCCAAGTCGGAATCCCCGTTGACGATTCCCGCGAAGAACTGTCGAAAACCGTAAAAAGTCGAAGAAGAACGAAGAATGAGGGCTTGCTTCTATTTATAGTAAATTGCAAAGATTCCTCAAGAAGTTTTGCTTTCTAAAATATCTGCCCTCGAAAATCGTGCCAGATCGCGATCCCATAAAGTCGGATCGCGATCTGGCTTCTCGAAAAAACGTGAACCGCCACCCAGATCGCGATCCGCCCCAAAATCACGATGCTACTGGAATTTGTCACCAGATCGCGATCCGACTTTCCTGGATCGCGATCTGGGTCTGAATCTTGCTTGCTACTGGAATTTGCATCCAGATCGCGATCCGACTTTCCTGGATCGCGATCTGGGTCTTAATGATCACTTTCTCGGCTTGAAAAATCGGTTTCGCTTCCAAATGGCTTCGACTTGGCAACAAAAGCTAACAAAACCTAAAAAAAGAAATAAAACAAGAAACACAATAATATATACAAATAAAGCCGAAACTCGGACGAACGAAGACCAAAACTCGAAGATTTGATAAGCAAAAATCGTGCAAAACGAGCACTTATCAAGCTCTCATGTATTTTAAAATTGTTCAATTACCTCATATTACATGTTACACCATAATATATACCCTTTTTAGTTCTTTTAAGACTAGTCACCCTCTTTCATTATTTTACAAATTTATTTTTTTTCAATTTTATAAGGAAAATTTTGACAAAACCCCCAATTGTACAAGGGTCGTTACATTAGGTCCAATTTTATTTTTCATTTTTAAGATAAATTCAAAACAAGTTTTATTAATTAAAAATTCTTAATTATCACTATTATACTCATAACTAATTAATACACGTGTTTTTTATATGTGTTATTAGAAGATACATAATATCTTATATATAAATATTTTAAATAGCATTTTCTCAACTAATTCCACCATTAACGCTTATTGACTGGACATTTCCGTTTATATGAAATCGGAATTGTATAACTCACATAAATAATATTATGTTTGTGTCATTGGATAAGCGGTGGCAGTGCAGATTCACATGGTGGTTTTCGGCTCACATGAGAATTTAAGGTGAATTACATGTGAGGTTTTTCATTGATTACGTTGGACAGTAATTTGTATGTGCATGTGCACGTTTTGTTGATGTATATAAGACTTGTATGTGTCTGGTGCACTTTACACGTTTTGTTGATGCTTAAATAAATGTAAAAGTTATTTTTGCATGCATAGTGATTTTTGCATGCAGAGTGGTTTCCGCGCACAAAGTTGTTTTGAAGCGAAGAGTGGTTTCCGCGCACAAAGTTGTTTTCAAGCGAAGAGTGGTTTATGCCCTTCCCTTATTAAATCCTTGGATTTTGACCTTCCCATTTTATTAAATCCGCTATTGTGCAAAGTTAATTTTGTCATACGTCAATGTTTTTACCGGAAAAACTTGTGTGACGTTGAACCAATATATGTATGTTGTTTTCCCTAAAGAGAAGAAGTTTTTATCCGAAAATAATAGTAGATTTTTCTTACAGTAAACATGAAACCATTGTCGCAATTTTTGGAGATCAAGAGAAAAAAGATGAAATGGATTTTCGAGATACTGAGGAAGTTGGGGGCGAGATTTTTGGAGAGATGGAGAAAGATTAGATGTGATAAAAAAATTAACATAATAATTAAGTAATGTAATTTTACCGGAATGGATTTCGAGCGTGATTTTGGGGGGAGATATACTGGGATGAATTTTAGGTAATGCGATTTTGGGAGAGATTCTGCATTTAATTCACCATATTTTTAATTTAAAATAATTATACTAATTAGTGGGGACATATACGGGTTTTTTAGGCCCAATAAATTTATGTTAAATATCAATTACAAATTAAGGATTTATGAATAATTTAAAATAGAAATTATTTTTAATTTAAATTTATGATAAAATTTATCAATAATTTATGATTTATGATAAAATTTACCTAGCAACCTCACAGCCAATAAAATTTAAATATTTATATTTAAAATAATTTTTAATTTATAATTTATGATAAAATTTACCAATAATTTATATTTTCAAATTAAATTAGATTGAAATTTAAAATAATTTATATTTTCAAGTTTATGATACAGACAATAAAAATATTTGTATTGCGGCTTCTTGTTTTAATTTATCTTTAAGAGAAAAATATTTGTTGCCTTATAAAATCGAACAAAAATAAACAGAAATAGAAATTAAAAAAAATAATGATTAAATGAATATGTAAAATGATGAAAGTTGAAAAAATATATTATGGAAATAAAAGGGAGATATTTAAATTTTTTTTTTTAGAAAATGATGATTTTATTGGGCATAAATCGCCAAAGTCTGGAGAAGAGAAGTCCCTTCACTTGAAGTAAAATTTAACTTTGTGGCAAGAACATGTGCCAAAGAATTGCCATTACGCTTAATAAAAAGAAAGTTACATGAATCAAAGCAATAGTTAAGGTTTCCTCAATATATGCTCCAAATGAGGAGGAAGAAAGAACTCCGGCTTTCAAGGCATTGATGACATTTAAGCAACCCCCTCTAAAACGATCGAGCCCTTGGAGAAGCAAACTTTGACAGTTGTGCGTGCTGGTAAGCGGAGAGATAAGTCAAACACCATTGAACCAATGCTTCCCCCATAATCCCTTCCTCTCCATGTAGAGCCCTATTCCTTACCTCCCATGCTTTCCAAGTAACAATAAGAGCGAGGAGAAAATTGTTTCCATTAAGATTGTTGTGCATGTGATTGACCCACTCCCACATAGAACATGTCTGCTCAAGAGGTTTCAAGTGGAAAGGATATGAGTTCCAAACCACCCCCATGCCGCCGCAGTTTTGGAG